CCCCCACCTCCCCCCTCCACCAAACCTCCCCGAAGCAACGAAAAATGTGGCGGCGATGGCCCAGCGTCAGTCATCTCAAAAGATTCGGTACTTACTCTGTCGCAACGACGACAAAACTACTATTTGCACACGCGACACAGCGAAAAACAGTGCAATATTCAGATACTACAGTAACATATAAAATGTTACCACAGTCGTCATACTGACAAGATCCAATTATGGTAATGGTAAGAAATGTATACGACTCTTAATGGACCCAAACATTTTCTACCAATTACAGATATTTCAATACTCCCTTTACCCTTTTCGTTTTCCTTCTCTTCTTTATCCTTCCCCCCACCCCTTTTCTACCTTAGTCTTGAACTGAGTTAACAATCAATGCAACAGCAACAGCAGCAGTTGCATGAAGCAGGTGAAATGACCGCCGGTACAGTGCATCACACAATCAGATGCTGCTGCGGCTACTACTGCTGCTGCTACGGCTATTGCTGCTGCGGCTACTGCTGCTGCTGCGGCTACTACTGTTGCTGTTACGGCTACTGTCGCTGCGGCTACTGCTGCTACGGCTGCAGCTGCTATTACTGCTGCTTCTGACGTCATCGTCATGATGACACGCAGCATCAGCCACTGTGCTGATTAAATCTAGCAAGCAACTAATATCAAACACATATTCTCAGCCTATTGCCGAGAATGGAGGACAAGCACTGTTTTGGAACAGCAACGATTGCTGCAGCTGCAGCAGCGCTGCAAACTGAAATCATTGGCGACGCGCACTGGGCGAGCTCGCGCAATCATGCGCTTTTGCACTGTTTCGTGCTGTAATAAGATCACTCGAAATTCCGCAAGCTAGAAACCTCTTGTACATACTGATCCTCGAATTTCGGTAAGTTAATTATCCGCGCTATACTTGTACACGGAATATTCCCTTGAAGTCCCAGGCTCCCAGCTTTCTCAGTTCCAGAGTTATCCAAATTCCTGCCACAAAATTTCACGGGGCCGTACGTGGCAACCACGCATAACGGAGGGCTGAATTTGATAAATTTAAGTTGTAGATGAATTGGAGACATTTCCTGAAAGTTTCAGCCTCCCAGCTTTCTTGGTTCCCGAGCTAGCGATTTTCGCGACAGGAACCCTCACGGGGTCATACGCGGGAAACGCGCACACCTGGGGGCTGGATTTAAAACCTCTGAGTTCTATATGGACGAGGAACATAATCCCAAAATTTCAGCTTTTCTGGTCCCCAAGTTAGCGATTTTCCCGCTAAAACTTTGAGGCGTTCGTACGCGGGGCCTAGACGTGCTTGAGGATTGGTACCGCGGTCCTGGGGTGGCACTTGGTCAGGGATCACTCGCAAAATTTTGGCGCCGGAGCTTGCTTGGGTGCCGAGTTGAAATACCCGGACAGACGCACATACACACATACACTGGGGTCGACACAATATGTGTTTTTGCGTATAAGCAAAAACGCATAATAGGGCAGCAGTAGCAGCAAACAAGCAACTAAAATAGGTCAAAGCACTGCTAGCAGCGCCGCA